TCAGGCTAAAACTTATAACCAACTCATTTAAAACACTTGTGCTGGGGACAGCTTTTCTGAATTTTACATAACTGCATACAAATGAAAACCAAAATGTAGTGATCTGGGTTTGCACTCAACTAAGCAAGTACAAAACTCTGGCTGCATAAACTTTTCCACTGACTTGATGAAGACCAGCTCTGCTTAACTTGTAATTTACTGCTGGAGCATTAAGGGACAAGTGCATAATTTAATTGACAGTTTTCTTCCAGTGACATAATCCATGTATTTTCCAAAGCAAATAATTTCACCATTAAAAGGGAAATGATGGATGTCTTTATTCATGTCACTTTTAACTCTGAAAATGCTTTTTACTCTCCTACAAGAAAAGGCTAACAGAATTGGGATTGTTCACCCTGGAGGAGAGTAGGTTTCAGGGTAACCTCATAGCAGCCTTTCAGTACCTAAAGTGAGACTGCAAGAAAGATGGAGAGAGACATTTTACAAGGACCTATGGTGATAGGACAAGGGGAAGCGGCTTCAACCTGAAGGAAGTAGTTTAAGATCAAACAGAAAAAACATCTTTACTGTGATGGTGGGGATGTACTGCAACAAGTTGCACAGAGAAACTGTAAATACCCCATCCCTGGAAGTGTTCAAGGTCAGGTTGGATGGGGCTTTGAGCAGCCTGGTCTGGTAGCAGATCCCCTGCCCATTGAAACCAGATCTTTAAGGTCCCTCCCAATGCAAGCCATTCTGTTATTCTATGATTCTGTGGTAAAATACTTTAATTGGCCAAAGTTAGGAATACAGATACTCAAACAGCTTGGAAGGCTAAAAACACATTCTCAAAACTACAAGCAACAAATGTTGGTTGCACCAAACAGCAAATGCTGCTCATGCAGCTTGAAATGTGGCTCCAAAGGTCTGTGTGCCTGGGGCTCATGCTAGGGCTGAGATAAGCCACTAAGCTGTGTTTTCAATTTTGTATTTGAACTTCTGCTGCCCCTGGAGTAATAACTTCAGTGAAGCCTCAGATGTGATTTTCAATATAACACACCATTTTTAAACTTGCAAAGGTGTTGAAGAGGATCTAAATTTGAGGAGCTTGTACACTTAGGAAATCAACTCAAGAAATTAGCAAAGCAACACTTTTACCTCAGATTTGTATGGGGAAGAAAGCAACTTATTAAGTGTTCAGAATACTGCATAAATTGCATTTTAAAAAGTGGATTTTTCAAACAACCATCTGCTCAGTTGCCCATCATACTGACAGCAGCAATCACATGAGGAGCCTGGTTTGTGCATATTCCTTCCGTGTATGAAAACAAAAAAATGAACAAGAGTGTGCAGCAAATTTTTTGTTAGCACTTGAGTACCCGAGTGTGCGGTAATGAGATTACAATATTATACACCTGCATCTTTAGTCAGTTACTGAAATTTTGTCAGTGAAGTCCAAAAATGATTTCAGGAAAACATAAAACTAGAGGATATTAATTTGTTTGGAGAGTTTTATTCCATTGTATGGAAAGCATTGTCTATTGGTTCAGTCAGTTTATTTGAGAAATAATCTCCAGCTATTCTGCAGAGTGAAAAATTGATGCAAGCAGTAACTCCCACGTACTTCCAGCTGCCATCCCCTGCCAAGGAGCAGCAGGGCTGCAGTCTCTCTTGCACCTGAGGCACATCTTGAAGTAGGAAAGATGTTTTCCTGCCCAGTTTCTTACCAGCTCTGGAAGTACCATTCTTGCAGGTAAACTCTTATGAATCTCCTGCATCTTACAGTTCTCTTTTGTGCTAAAGCTGCCTTGAACCACCTGCATGGTTGTGTGACACCTACTGCCATGGCTGGGGACAGTGTGTTCCTGCCCCATTTCCCTTCACTTCTGTTCATCTCTGTCATTTGATTTCTTTCAAAAGCTCTTTTTAAAAGTTTGCTTAACTTCTTCATTGAGTCTCCTAATCCAGTAATGTCTGCTGAGAATATCATATCCTGCGTGATCACTTACTAATCAGTTGCTATATTGGGAAATACTATTAATGACATTTTTTAAACAACTTTATTAAGGTATTTAATTTCTAAATACTTTTAAAACCTCCTGAATTATCCTCAGTCATTTCCCTCATCTCTCAACAAAATCAATCATGGATAACCCAAACCACAACTCACATCCACATCTGGTTTCTTTCCTCAATGAATTTGTCTCAACTAATAAATCACATTACCCCAGAAGTGATTCTGAAAATGAAATGTGAAGTCACCTGGTAAGTTTTTAAAGTTTGTATATAATCATTGTTCATTGTGCTTGGCTTCACACAGGTCCACGTCTCCATACAGAACTTAGAAATCCCATATTGCCCATTTTTGTTTAAAATATTAATTAAGTAATTTTAATAATAAAATTTTCTCTTAAGATCACAGTTTGGTTCAAAGATAATTACTACTGCTTCTAAGCTGTTATTTTTTATTTAAAAAATATTTATAAAAATATATATAAATCTTTAGATTTCTGATACTTTTAGCTATTCTATAATAAAATAAAGCCTCAACACATCTAGTGATCTACTGAAATAGGTGTAAAAATGCTAGTCCTAAGGAACTGACAGACAAGAGCAGCAAACTTAGCAAGCATATGTTTACTGGTATGTGGAAATGTAGGGACTACTCTTGAAATGAACAAATCTCTATATCCCCTCACTCTACCCCCTAAGGCCTTCGTGTTTGAATAATTTTGGCAAGTATTACTTGAAAATGTTGCCCTATATTGCCATAAGGGTATTAAATTACTACAAACACATGTTTTAATACAGACTCCTCAGGGAGTGCATTTTCTAACACCCTCTAATTTTAAGAGCTCTCCCCAGAGGTAACAACTGTTTCAAAAAATAACTGCTCATGAAACTGCCAGCAAGACAAGGCGAGCACTGAGTTTAGTTTTCACTGCTAACTGTGGTCTCATTGGAGGGAGAGACCACAAAGATCTTTGACAGTAGGCGTTTAGTTCTCTTATCCTGCTTTGAAGAATTTCCAGGAATGCATTATCTCACTTGTTTGCTAAATGCATTTTTCCTCCCCAAATATGTGACTAGTGAGGAAAGAATCTGAAAGGAAATGCCTTGTTCCCCAACCAGTGCTCTGTTGGCTGTCACTGGCAGGAACAGCACCAGCTAAGGCTAAGGCTTACCAAGTTGAAAACAAAAATTGTTGTTAAAAGATTACTGAGCTAGTGCAGCTGGAAATGCTCTTCAGCACTAGGCAGCTGTCCTTAGACAATATTGCCAAGACACACGTTGTTGGATGTCTTTAATATTTGGCAATCATGGCTGAACTACCAAGATTGTAACCCTGTCAGCATTTACAGATCTAGCTCTATTTGAAGTCAGAGGTGACATTCTCACACTTGAAAAACTCTGATTATTCACCACGACGAAGCTAAGCAACTTGTATGGTGAGTGGCCAAGTTTCTTCTTTGTAATTCTCTTCAGATACAAAAGACTTGGTGATAGAAAATCTCCTTGGCAGGCAGCAAGGGGCCTCCTTTTACCATGTCATGACTGCTTCATGCATTCCTGCATGAAGGAACACCCTTGCTTTCCATGGCTCCATGCCAAAGCAGTAATTGTAGATCTTTCCTATGCTTAAAATCTTCCCAGTTCAAAATTCAAAGGCCTTCCAACAGGCACTGACTGGAAGTCAGTTTTTGGTAAGACGCAGGGTTCTCTTCTAAGATTGCAGTACCAGTTGCTTTGGTACAAAGTATATGCTGCAGTGAAACAGCACCTTGCTGTTACCAGGTCAGGCACACAAATGATGCCCTTAGGTTTATTTCTGTATGCTACAGCTAGATGTCAGTGTCATTACAAGGAGCTGTTGGGTGTAGAATTCGAGCAGTGCATGTAGCCAGGGGAGGAGCCACCAGTGCTGATCAGAAAAGGCTTGAATTCTGCCTTCCCTGTGTCCTGGTGTGTCAGCACCACTTGCTGGTGTCTGAAGGGAGCACACGACTGAGCCATCTGGCTGGATTTCCTAAATACTACTGAGTAACAGCCCTGTAAAACCTTGGCTCCAAGTACACTGGTCCTATAAAAATCTGTATGAGAAGAGTTACATTTCTGCTTAAACATCAGGGAGTCTGCACATGAGAATACAGCCCAGAAGTGCATTCCTCTACCCTCTGAAACACAGAGGGATACTGGTTACAAGTGAGGAAATGACAGCAGATAATGAAGAAGTCCTGTCAAAGTGGAAAGCCCTTGTAACTTTGTCACAATTTTGACTGTACCAAACTGGCATCTCTGAAGAGCAGTAGAAATCTCCTGCCCCTGCAGAGCTGAGGGCTAGTGAATGTTACTGTGTGCCACTAGTGCTGTCTTAATGCCAGCAGGTTGGGATATAAAGCAAAAATACACACACAGAAGCAAGACCAGAGCAGCTGATGCTGAGTCACAGCAAAGCTCAGCAACACCGAAATGCTTAACCTGGGAAGAAATTCTTGGAGCTTTAACTAAATTCAAGGTTTTGTTCCTGCATGAAGCCAGCTAAGAAAAGGCAATTTAGTGTCTTGCAGAAAAAGCACGCATAAAGTCAAACCTGGGACAGAAGAAAAAAAGGCACCAGCGTGGAGCCAAATCAGAATATTCAGTAAAGTTTTCCAGTATGTGAAACAGAGGGAAAACAGTCTGATGACCATCTACTGTTGCAGCTGGCAGGTGCATTAAAACTCACTTTCATTCTACAAAGGGAAACAGAGCCACTGTTTGGTGACTGGCATACTGGATTATTTTTGCCTCTAGCTTTGCACACAAAATCAATTGAAGTGTGGAAAAGAACCTGAGTACGGGAAAGCGAGCCAATACTGTCAGCACAGAATAAATGATGTAGTGGTGGCAGTAACAGAACTTTTTCTGGAGACAAGATATTTATGAAAAAATGTAATTTCCTATTTCAGTAAAGGCGAGTTAATCTGCAGAAAGATTGTGTGAACTTCCCAGCTTCTCAATTATATATTCACACATTTGTAAAGTTCCAGAAACACTTTATTTAAAAATGGAGTTGTAAATGCATATAACAAAATAACATACATAATAAATGTAACAAAAATAAATAAAGAGAACATGTCCATACAAAATAATAACATAGTAATGCAAAATGCTTATTACACAACATAAAGGTAAAAACGCCTGAAATAACACAAACAGAATTTTGTATGAAGAGCCTGCACCTTTAATCCTTCCTAGCCATTTCCTACTTTCCACTTGAATCTGCAGAAAAATTATGTTCCCAAGCATTAAACAAAAGAAGGAATTATGGTGATGGTTTGGTACACTCAGTTTTCAACACTTAGCTCTAGTTTCCATCTATTTTTGCCCTTCTGCACCTTCAAGAAGTTTTCCTGTAGCCTCTGTAAACTAGTGTCATCCAGGCTCCCACAGTTAGCTGGAGTAGAGCATATTGAGTCATACATGAAGACTGTTTGCTTTTAATTTTTTTTAAAGAAAATATGAAATCCATTATACAACAGATTAGTGGTTTTGTTTTTACATCTCTACAAAAAAAGTTTTTGCATCTTTATTAACTGGTCCAACTTTTACTGATTTCTGAAAGCCTGTACAATTTAAAAGCGTACAGAAAGTAGGTTTTTTAAAAACAAATCTCATATAGGATTATTGCTGAAATATTAAAGACCATTTCATAAAAGCTGCAAAACTGTATCTTTAACCTTAATATATAGAGACTGATGCAAACATAAGAAAATTCCAGTCTATTAGTTACATTTAACAGAAAAAACATTCCTCCAAATTACAGTGTTCTGGAAATACAAAGTAATTTACTTTAATTTTTTTCATTATTTCCAAATGTTAAGTTACTGGGACAACTGATAAGGAAAATAGGCTTATATAGGAAACTTTAAATAGACTTGCTTTTCAGTGGTATAAGCAAAACGTCCATGTTAGCAGTCGTTGTCCAGAATCCTTTTAAATATGTAAGACAGGGACAGCTTTACTAGCAAGACTACAGGAAAATATACAGAAACAAATAAAATCACTTGCTTGGGAGTGCATCTATCGATCAAGCAAATCATGACAACTCTATTTCCAAGTTCCCTAAAGAAAATTTTACATCTCATGATCATTCCAAATAAACAATAATTTCTTCTGTAAGTTTACGTTGCATTTGGATTGGTGAGAGCCCATTTGCCTCAATATGCTTTAAAATGTCCCACATTGCTGTACGTTCAAATTTATTTCCTAGTTAGTTTCAACAAAGATTTGGACAGAAATGAGATATGAAATACTTCTACTTTCATTAACATCAAAAAGACTTTTGAAGAAGATCAAAAAGTGCCAAATAGTCTTTTCAGAAAGTGGATTAAAACACTGTAATGATAATACAAGGACAGTATTATCAGTTTTCTATGTACACCAAAACACTGCTTGCTGTTCAACGATATCGATATGTTCACCTACCACTCCCAGCAAATCTTAGTGCAAACATAATATGTGAACTTATTTGTAAACCCCAAGACAATTTACGCAGCAACAAGGTTACATAAACCACAGAACTGTTTGAGATTTTCCAGTACATGAGAATGAATGCTTTCTGAAATCTGTCTTACTTTTGCAGTAATGTGTCATTGTAGTCAAAGATAATGTTTCCTATATAAATCATCTAATTCAGAATCAAACATAACTGTTCAACAGTTCTGTACAAGCTTTAGAGGAGGAAGTCTGTTCATCAGAGCAGCTCGGCAAAGAGATTTGGGGTTTTCAGTAAATGTTAGACTGCTTACATGGCTTTTGAAAAGAAATAAATCTATTAAGGGAAAACTGCTGATATAATAATTCTTTTGCAAAGCACACAACCACAAAGGGCAAACCTGCCACAATCTGCTTTCCTACATTGGTATCTATGCATATCTTTATGATTTGAAAAAGATTTGTGTGACAATCAAAGCATCACAATTAAAGAAAACTGGTTTAATAAAACAACTGCTGCTTGACCAAGCCTTTTTTTTTTAATTATAAAAACAAACATTACAAGTTTTCCTTGATTTCTAAACATTCCACATGAAAGGTTTTTGTATCAAACACTGAGATGTCACTCACGCAGGGTGGCATCTTCTTCTTCCCCATCTGGGTTAAACCTATTGAAATGTATGCTGAAATCTGCCTCGGACTCAGCATTTTCCAATTCAGCTGCCACAGGGCCGGCGGCAGGACGAGCCCGGGCCTCGGGCTGGCAGTTTGGCTGCGCTGCCGGGCGGGGGCCTTGGGAAACAGGGCTGGACTTCGGCTTCGGCTGAGCTGGTAAGATGGGGCTGGCGAATCCCAAGTTGCTCAGAGCATCCAGGGTACCATCAGGGTCAATCATGGCATTAATTGCTAAGCAGTCAGGAAGAGATGAGAAGGATAGGGAAGAAGCCATAAAAAACCCAATTATCTGTTACTATAAAAATATGGAAATCCTTATTCACACTTTTATTTTTATGATGACAGATGTGAGTTTTTATGGGTGCTGCCCACGACAGAGAAATGGTGTATCCAACACAGATGTAAACTGATACATGTATTCAAAAGCAGTTACATATACTAAAACTTTAGATGAAATGAAACTGCACAAACTAAACATGAACTGATGCATGGACAGGAAACAGATGATAAACCATCTACAATTAGGTTATAGGGACAGAAGGATGGTTTGCATTTAAGTGGCTTTTCCCCCTGATCTTACTGTTATATTATGCTTTGTTCCACCCCACCCCCAGGAAATAGCCATAGTTGCTGATTCCATGATTGAATGAAATTTGTATAAAAGAGCAGTCATTTATTCACACAGTGAGGGCAAACTGAAGTACCTAGTACCATTTCATTTTATTATACTATTAATATATGTGTCACATTTAACAGAACTTCTCTTTTTATTTCCAAATATGTACTAACATTTATTAATGATTTGTCTCTAAAGGTGGTTTATAACTTCTCTTTAAAAATTATTTTCAAAAACACGATTTGCTCTCAGATTAGATCTGAATACTAAAAATAACAAATATAGGAAATTTACAACTAACATAATGATGATAAGCATGGGCCACTAATCCCATATAAGAAGATATGACCACTCTTCTGCTTTTAAAAAAACAGCCATGTTCAAATGTATCAGCAGTTATATGATAACAATGCACCTAACTGATACTGTGAATATATTTTAATAAATCACAGTAACTTTTTTCATGTTATACATAGACACATATAGATATCTTATCCCATATAAAAAGATATGACCACTCTTCTGCTTTTAAAAAAACAGCCATGTTTGTTTATCAAATGTATCAGCAGTTATATGATAACGATGCACATAAATGATACTGTGAATATATTTTGATAAATCACAGTAATTTTTTCATGTTATACATACACAAATATAGATATCTATTAAAAAAATTGAAGCAAGCAACCACAGAAAAGTGAAAAAAGATTTTTACCTTGCAGCTGCTTCTCAACTCGTTTCAGTTCCTGTAAGATTGATGATATTTCCTAGAAAATAAACAACCATGTTTCATTATCATAGAATCGGAAAAGGTCAGAAGAGACCCTTAAGCGTTTAAGTCCAGCTGCTAAACCACCACAAAAGTGAAAAAAGATTTTTACCTTGCAGCTGCTTCTCAACTCGTTTCAGTTCCTGTAAGATTGATGATATTTCCTAGAAAATAAACAACCATGTTTCATTATCATAGAATCGGAAAAAGTCGGAAGAGACCCTTAAGCTTTTAAGTTCAGCTGTTACTGCAGCACTGCCACTACAGCTCTTATACCACTAAACCGCCACCCAGTGCCAGATCCAGGTACCTCCTAAACACCTCCAGGGATGGCAACTCCACCACTCCCCTAGGTGACCTGTTCCTGACCAGACCACTCTAACAGTGAAAAATATTGTTCTAATATCTAATCTGAATCTTCCCTATCCCGGCTTAAGGCCATGATGGAAAAATAAAGGAAATTTCCATTAAGGAAAAAGAGATTTAAACTACCTCTCAGGAGTGAACAATCCCTCTCTCAAACCTGTCCAATTGCATTATGCTATTTGGATTGTCCTTCCTGCCATCAAGAACATCTGTACTGGTGCTGGCCCAGCCATGGGTGGCAGTGCTGGAGATCCATGTCCCACTCAGAAGGCCAGAGCCCTCTGCACTGACTGCCTGCTACCATCCCCACGGCCTCATTCTGACCCTTGCTTATCTGCCTGTGCCACCTCTGCTCAAGCACAGACACCACAGTTCTGTGGAGAACAGGCAAATTAAGAGCAGACCTTGAAAGGGAAGTTACAGGATAAACTCAGTATTAAATAGAACAGAGTAATTTATAATGTTGTAGAGATGTGAGTCAGACAGTGAGATGTCTGCATCAAGGTTCTGTCCCTTGAGATCCTGCACAGCACCCCAGTGCTGGGGCCCCAGCACTCTGCCTTACAGATTTTGCTCCACTGTGCTGCACTAGCTAACACAGCCACAGCCACAGCAATGCACTCAGAAACACAGCAATCATTAAATGTACCACATCTAAAGCTGTAGGATCACAGAATAACCTGAGCTGGAAGAGACCCACAAGGATCATTGAGTCCAACTCCTGGCCCTGCACAGGACACTCCAAGAATCACACCAAGTGCCTGAGAGCATTTTCCCAAGGGTCCTTGAACTCTGGCAGGCTGAGTGCTGCGACCACTTCCCTGAGTAATTTCCCTGGTAGAATTAGCATATTTATGTTAGTATAAATATGTAAATCCTACAATTGAAGGATCCTACATGGAAGAATAGAGTTAACCCAGCTGCTGAGAAGAGGTGTCAGTGGTATTCTAAAGCTGAGAATTTTCAAAGGCACTGATTTCAGAAAACCATTAATGCATTTCAGAAAGCTGTTCTGTACTAAGTAGTGTGATTTTCATGGGCGGCAAAGAGATTGATTATCTTTACGCAGTCATTATCTTTAAGCAGATTTCACATCTGAGTTGGACATAAATGTTCCAAGGACAAAACAAACATCACTTACAACTGTCCTTTCTTAACTTTTAGTATTCTGTGGTAAATAAAGGCACTGCATTTGAACAACATATTGCTCTGAAAACTAGGCAGAAATTTAAAAATCAGTGCATATACAAAAAAACACTGAACAACCTATAAACTTTCAATCAGTGTGAGATGCTTTAATAGATAGAAAAAAATTCAGTAAAATGGTGAACTTAGGAATAAATGTACAAGAAACCTTTTTCGTTTTTAATAATACCTTAACCTCCCATATTTAGGGCATTTAGAATATAAAACACTAAATTTAGATCTTGTTCTGGAGAGGGATAAGAGAAACTCCTTGGATTATAATATTTATAAAATTAGAAACTTCCAAGAGAAACTTCATTAACTTTTTGAAAAAACCTAACAAACTATCAGCAAATCTATTAAATTATAATACTGATTTACTAATGATTGCTTTTGATAAATACACCATTCTGCAAAAATTACAGGCCAAGTCTTTTATACTTCCAGGGAAAATCAGTCTGGAGGAGTTTACTAACTGATAACGAGCTAGCAGAGAAGTTCTAGCCTGTTCAATGCCAGAAGAAATGTATTCACATTTGAGCAGGTTTCTCTCCCACAAAAAACCCTGCGTCTCTAAACAGATATTTTTAACAGCAGACTCTGCAGATGGATAATGTAGCTGGGCTGTGCCTGCTGCCTCATGCAAGGATGTTTTTCAAACCCTATGCTCTGTGTTTAGAAGCAGAGGAGAAGTGTACCGAGACACAACATGTGGTCTGTTCCCTCACACTGTCACACAGTCTGGTCTTGAAATGGCCTGAATTAGGCCATAAACCAGAGCTGATTTATGCAATTAGGCTATTACATAAAACAGCTGGAGTGCTAGTGGGCAACCTATGGTTACCACTTCCAGACAAAACCAATAGGATTATTTTTCACTGAAAAATCCTTTTATTGCAATGTGTCTATGGATTATTTTCATCACATACATTTAAAACACAACAATTTCTCTAAATATAAATAATCAGTATTACTAGTGTTAAGTATTACATATTAAGTATTAATGATTAGTAGGTAGAATAGTTTTTAGACTGTAAACCAAGTTTATTCAAAAGCAATCTAACATTCCAGATAATAACTGTTACCTTTTGTTTAACAAACATACTGATGGTCTATATATAGTTTGAATCCCTTTTACTGCATTCTTAATCTGAAAATTTCCCCTGAACAATTACTTGTTTCTTAATGATACAGTAAAAAGTAATTACTAAGACAGTAAATCTTAGTAATTATAAAAAAAATAGTCATTATTGAAGATTAGGTTCATTCTTGAAATATACTTAGTGTCTAAATAAGGGTTTTTAAAGATGTTTGCCCTTATGTCACTGACAACACCACATTCCTCTACTGATTACTTAGCCATGAGATGAGCAGCATAACCAGTCCCAGGAAAGGTAACTATTCATACCATGCTTGATGTTTTCACAATAGGAACTTCACTTTCAGCTCGTAACTTGTTTTCAATTTCTTCCCAATTTCTGTCTTTGTCCTTAAATAATATTCTAGAAGAAAGAAATGCAACAGTATGTTTAAATTAGGGAAAGAACCCCACAAAATAATCTGAAAGATTAGAAAACTTGATAGGGAAAACAGGATAAGGAGTGCTACATGAAAATAAAATATAATAAACTGAAACCTGATGGTATCTAACCACACTGTTTAAATGTTCAGGGAAGCATACAGGTTTCAAGTTTTTCAGCAAAATCATTATTATTGAGATTAAGATGGCAGTTCTGCAGCTAAATACTTGCTTATGGTAGATATACAGACACAGCTGGTTCTTTCCTTCAACACTGACACATTTCTAAAAAGCCAACTATTTCACTGTAGTGAGAAAATTCCCCATTAATACTGCATTTTACAATAATAAAAAACACCCAAATATAAGACAAAGAAATTCAACTTTTACATTTGTATTTCATATTAATAAAAAAGAAAACATTTTAGGAAATATTAAAAATGCATTTTATAGAAAAAGTTTTCATTGAAAAGTCTCAATATGTACATTTTATATATATATATGTTCTAGTAGTATGAGTATCACTCATATGTTTAAAGAAGTCACTTCTACTTGTAAAACCCCAAAGCATACTGGCAGATTCCCATTTTTCATGTTTTGCTTCCCTGCTCTCCTCTGTCCAATTTGTTTTTTCTTCCTAAAATGCAAAATCCCTAAAACAAACTTGGCAAACCTGCAGGGACCAATTTTAGAGTTCAGCAATATTTTAATCTTAACTTTTAAGGAAGGGAGTTTTACAAGACTTGCACAGAGGTTGTGTAGATTTTTCACAGAACTGCAAATCTGGAAGAGCTTATGTTGGAAGAGCTCCTCTGCTGGATGCTGTTCTGTCCATGCAAACTTTCCTGACATTTCTCTTCACATAAAGTGAAATAAACAGAAGGAATAATGCAAAAAGTATTCATTCCAAATCCTTCTGAATGCTAAAAATGCCATGGGTAACAGTGCTTTTTTAAAAGACAAGTTTCTACTACATTCATTTCCTCTGTGACTATTATATTTATCTTTTTTTACTGCTGGGAATGTTGATGGGAACAGACATTTTTCAGCAATAACAGCAATTTTTAACAACCTACCTGATTTTGCCAGCTGTTTTGTCTATGGATTGTCTTATCTTGCGAGAAAACTGGAAGACTGAGGACAACAGCAAACTGTCCCCCATAACCTGCAATAAGTTTTTAATAAAAAGGATATTATTAGTTTAATAGTAACAACTCCATATATTTTGTTATCTTTAACTATAAAAAAATCTTACTTTTGTTTTAGATAGTATCGTATACAATGGTATTTGAACATTTTGCCAATAAAATAATACATATTTTTTCAAATATTAATGCCACCTGCTAGAGGTAGGAGAGACAGGATAATATCTAGAATATTAAGTGGGGAGATAATTGTAAAAGCTTAAAATTGACACATTCTTAGAGAGAATCCTGTTGTGTGCTCACTTCATCTCTGCTCCAAGTCCTTCTGCGGGTAATTGTTGGGGGATCGAGGGCCTCTGTCAGCTGAGGTCTGGCATCACTAGGCCGACCATTCCCTTCCGGGGCTTTCGCATGCACTATTGGAGGGATTTTTCTAAAATTGAGACTTTCATCAAATACTCGGTCCACCAACTGCAGGATAAAAGAAAAATGAAGTTCATGAAATCTACTGGATACATCCAATAATCAGATTACTGGGGTTTTTTCTCCTGAAACAGTTTCTAAGATGCTTATCAAATAATAATAATTCTGTTGTCTTCTATAGTATAAAATGATGCATCTCTTATGTAAAAATATCTTGTACAAATGAACAAGATGTGGGGTTTTTTTTCCTAAATACTAGACATACATGGCAAATTTAGACTACCCCACTGAAATTTTGCTTCTGGACAGGTAACATAATTGCTACCTATAAACTGGTACTGAATAATTAATTCCTTTGATTAATGGAACATATCTGTGGAATTGAGAAGAGTACTCTGAGATTTAGGGGTTTTTTTTCCAAATAAGTTATAGTGTTACAGAAAGACCTACACTACCTAAAGGAGATACTGCCACCTGCAGTATGTACACAATGCATCGCATTTTTTGAAGAAGAAAATAATTATTTAATGATTAAAAAAAATTTGAGTGGTCGAATTGGATCTGATAAAAAGAGCATTTTACATCTTTAAAGTTCAGCCACAGTCTAGGAGAATTAAACCCAAAATCTATGTGAGTGCATTTGTAATTTTTCTGAGTACCCAGCTCACAGATTTCTTATTGCTGTTTATATCTTTTTTTCCACAGAAAAAGACAATATTAAACTAACCACAGTAAACTCGTGTATTAACCAAAATTTATGCACACAAAAATGAATAAAACATATTTTGAAAGGAATACTATGAAGAAAAAATGCATTAAACATTTACAACACATTATTATGGTGAACTCTAACATGGTAGAAAGTGATGACTTAAATTCAGATTAACATCTTTACCAGCATTAGACCTATGATGGTTACTAGAACACGTTAGTCAATATATTCTTAGAACAGCACACCAGAGGTAGGCAAAGGAAATAGGAATTATTAGAAGCATAAAGCAAACTTATTTCAAGGCAGTTTTTGACAATGTTATTAAGAAAGAAAATCTGAAGTTAACTGATGGGTACCTAAGTATTTCAGTGTTCAGAAGATGGAAGTTTTTTGTCACCTGTGAAAAGAGGGACTTTTTTGTTTTTAATAGCTAAGCAAAGAATTAAATATATACATTTATATATAGTTGTGCATACACACTAGTATCTTTAAATGCACTTAGATACCATCCAATGGTATATCTAAGGCTACAGACAAGCAAAAAACAAATAACTATCTTATCCTAAGTTTTGTGGAAAAAAAGAGACAGACAGATAGTATGCATCCTTTTGACAAGCTGTGTTCACAAAATGACTTCTGGGTTGTTGGTTGAAATGTAAAGGAATTTCAAATAAAAAAAAATGTTGAGATCATGCACACGGTTTGAGTGGAAATAACTAAAAAGGCTATGCAAAATGCTAAAAGCAAAAGAAATAAAGAAAAGGAAGAACCTTATGCATTTCTCCATGAAGATCTCCTACCTCTTCTCTAGTGTCTATGGCAGAGCCAGGGGTGGTGGCAGCAGTGCTTACTGTGGTACTGGGGGCAGTGCCTGATGAAGTCACTGAATCTATCTCTCCTGCTACATCGTTGATTTCCCGTGCGATGAGAGCCAGATCTTGACTGATCCTAATAATAAAGAGAGTGTTACATTCACTCCTACAAATACCTTTGGGCCAGTAGAGCCCAATCTGCAGCCTTTGAGGTTGAAAGTTCTAGTTCCTGATAACCGTGCTACGAAAACCTGCATGCCTTTTTAAACAGAAAGATTATTTGTAGAACCATAAAAGCAAATTTTGACTGAAGCTTTTAATAGCGTGCCTTTCTAGAGGAAGAAGGTGAAAGGTGATCTCAAAAGACAAAATATCCTTGTTTTCTTCCTAGGATTCAGGCAGATGCGTGCAACGTGCAGTATATCCAACACAGAGGATGCATAGGAAATATGCTGAAAATACTGCACAGATGTATAACTGGCAGTATGTCTGACATGACAGTAAATCTGAAATGTTCAGAAACCATTTAATTTGTACCTTAGTTTGCCTAACTGAAAAAAATGTTTTCACGACTTCTGATTTTTTTGGCAGCTCCATACCTTGCTCAAATCAAGCTGCTAATGGGTCTCAAATTCCACATCAATACCCTAAATCCCCAAATGTAATCAAGACAAATTTTTCAGTGGCAAAAATACAACATACCTTTAAAACCCTGGATATGATAGCATTACAAATATACAGCTGACTTCTCAGCCGAAGAGTCCTTTTATTTGCATCTGATTCACTGCATCAAAAACTCAGCTCTGCTCTGGCTTGCTCTGCTTGTGCTACTCCTCCCCAGGACACCCCAAAAGAAGAAGGGAACAAAACAAAAACCTCCACAAAGCAAAAGCTAAAAGCCATTATTAACTATGGCACCCTCAATCTCCAGCTTGGATCACAGACTTGAGAAGAGCAGACTGCCAAGTGATCCCCTTTCACACTTCTGCCTGACAGCACTGAAGGCACAGGAGCTGACAGTGCCACTTCTGTGCCACCAAGGACTCGGTGACACATAGCACCTACCACTCAAGTGGAAGGAGGTGCACAGCCACGTGACAGTGACACACCCTGGGCTCCACAGTGAGAGATTGTTCAAGGTGTTCCTTCTGCTCTTAATTTTCACTTTGTCTTCAAGTCAAAAACAATGGATACCACTGGCCTAGAGATAGCTTAAGACTAAGTGAAAGAGAATTCCAACTAGAAAGGCAAACGTAACTAGAGAAATTTCCAGCCAATTTCCAACACTGGATTTTGTGGCTGATCATCAGCAATCCACAAGGAAGTACAACTTTGTGCAGCTTACATAACTGGAAGAAGACTGTAGACAAATATGTGGCAATTTACACATGCCCTTCAATGTCTAATATTCTTAGTAGTAGATACACTAAAACAGCTACTTCCTTTGTGTCATACAATCATCTAACTTTTTCCATAAATAGAGAAGTTGCTACTATTCACATTTGATTTTCTGGGACAAATTCTGGTATTTAATGAGTAGTTGTCAAGAAAATAAAACCAGGATTTCAATTTTCAGCAAATTTTTCAGAAGAAAAATGTACCATAACTAAACCATAACTAAAAGTAGCATCAACTAATGAAGACTTAACTCTTCACAGAAATCAGCAATGCTTCAACATGACACAACCACATCATATGTGTTCTTACCAAGAAATCAAAATTGCATAAAGTGTCAGATCTCTATATAAAAATTAATTCAAATGAATCCTAGAAGTATCAGGACAAACAACTCTAACAGTGCAGATGGTAAGCAACAGATAATTACCACAGTCAAATATCAGTCATGTGAACAAAATCTGGAATAATTTTCTATGTGAAAGTAAGCTATAGTCCAGTACCCAATTACATTTCTGTATAGAAACAACATAGAGCAGTAAACGAGAAGCACTGTGAAAAAGAATATTAGAAAGAATATTAGAAATCAGCTGTAAGCTGAGCCTGACTTATGAAGTTTTCAAGTAATTCTACATTAACTTTTGGAAGCAGAAATTTTTGCTTAAGTATAAGGAGTATGTTTTGTGCAATCAGGGACAAGAGACTTAGGCTCTAGGTGCACCCTATTTACTCTACTACAACTGCAGGGTGCCTTGCAGATCTCTACTGCTTCCTGCATCAGACCTAGCAAGCATACAAGGCAAATCAGTTCACAGAGGCAAAACTAATAAACCTCAAATTCCCTAAATCCCCCAACCCACTCCAGGAAATACTGCTTTAGATTCACTTGGTGAGCAGAGTCAGGTAGCTACACAGCTACACAGGGAACAGACTCAGTTTCCAACACATAGGATAAGTGAGAATACAGGGCTTGGGATGAAGAGAGCATGACCACTTTTTTCAAAAGCCTGGAACTCTAGTTCTTATTCATCTGCAGTGAAAGAATGCCCAGTGTTAGAAAAAAACACAAGGAAATAGGAATACTTCTATGATATCTGTAATAGTGCTGAACTACTGGACTATTTTTATGCTTAGTCTACTATGTTTCACTTCCTATACTGAGTCAGTGGATTTTGTAACAATACTTTAACATCCTCAGATAAAATATTTGTGAGGTTCCCATTATTAAAAGGGTGTGAATTCCCTCCATACCAATGTGGCTTCAAATCAAGTTTAATTATTCCAGGAACTTTCTCTAAACACCTCTTTCAAATTTTCAGTTTTATTAACATCTGTAAATTGTGCAAACTGGGTCAGTCATGGAGTTATTAAAACACAGTATGATGGTAACAGATGCAATGAAATGTTTGCTATACAGTTTCTACACTACTTTCTGCTACACATGTATTTTATGAAAGGCTTATCCTTACAATCAGCTACTCAACAACAGCAAAAATAAATCAACTCATTTTAATGACAGCATATAGCCATCTTAATTTTTTAAAACTCTAAACAGAGTTGAAGGGATCCCGAACACAGAGGCTGGACTGATGGCTGGGATGGAAAAATAAAACTAGGGTAGGCAATAACAGAACCTGTGGTTAGCAAGGAAATAGGAGCAGAGACAAAAAGTATCTTATGGAGGATAGAAGTTAAAATTAAAGCCAGGGAGCAAAAATGTGAATCACTACAAAGATATGGAGACACAGAAAGGATGAACTAGTGACCTACAGCAAATGCTCTCAACAGAGGCTAAAACTGGTATTGGAAGCAGTGACAACAGATGACAGTAATCTGGAATTTCTCAGATGCTAAATGCTACTTTGCTTTACTTTAAATAAGGCCATTTAACGCAAGTTGTGTAAAATCTCTATATAAACCTAAAAATTTGGCAGTACTGATTTGAGCCTCTCAGCACTTCAACTGAAAATAAAGCTGAAGAGGTAGGATAAGTACACAGCCTTTAAAACAAATTTTAAAGCCAATACATCAATGTAGGAAAGAGTAAGAATCCCAAGGGAAGAGGAAAAACCTGCTAGCCTAAACACCAAATGAATTTAGACTGAATCATCAATTATGTCAATCTCTCTTAGATGGACAAAACATACCAAAAAGTTTCATTGAAGTAGAGGTTCAGCAGTACTATTTGTCAGGAGGAACTAATATGCTATGGCTATCAATTATTTTTCCCATATACACACAGTCCTTCCTATAACCATCTCTAACTTTAGACTTCTGAAAATGAAGAGATGTTCTAGGAAGAATATTTTCATTTCATTGTTTGTCCAGATACTATGAGATTCCCTTAGGTATCTTCTGTGTGTCTCTCAGGTCTCTGCATCTTCCTTTTGCACAGATCACAACAGAAAAACAAATGTTGAAAAATATTACCAAAATCAGGAAACAAAAAATAATTAATCACACTAAGCAAAACACTCCCACAGTAGTAAGAAAATACTCCACACTATTAAAATTAATCTTAAAAGGAAAACTTATTTCTTGTTTAGGCTTCCCAATTAGGTTCTGTGAGAATCTTTGGAACCTGAACACTGACTTCTAAGTATTAAATAACATTTACATGCTTGTGCAAGCTCTCTGAAGTTTTCACTGCCTGGGTATTGCATGGTATGGCAATAACTGGTTACCAGAATGCGCAACTAACTTTTTCCCTGGTACACTTGAAGCAGAGTAGTGCCAGCAATAACAGAGGTATTGGTATACTAATCTCATGGACTTGTAACAAAAAAAAAAAAATCCTTTTTGGTGAATATGCATTACTTAAATCAGAAAGTACCTAACATGAAATAATGTCCTGATAAATCAAAAATGAAAATGAGAACATGGTCTCTCACATTCCAAAGCTTGCTTTTTTCTCTCCCTGTCACCTGTGATTGATCTGAAATTTTATCTCAATATGTAAAGGTAGTAAGAAATCACATACCCTTCAGCCTCAGGATATACACAAAGTACCTCCGCAAGTCCCAGTAATGCAACTGAAAGTTCATCTTCTGGGATTTGGCTATCATAAATCAGAAGCTACTATCATTTTCCACTAAAAAGAGATGTGCTGGTGATGTGAGTGTTCTGTCTACCAGTCCCATAAGAAGAATTTTAAGTAACCCATTCAGTTAGTGAAGGAAAGCAGTAAGGAGTGATAGAGAAAATTCATCAGCTCTCTTTGTCCTCTATGAGCCTCAGTACAAGTGGCTGGGTACAAACTCTGTTATTTTAGGAGCACTCCTTTCAAACCCACCTTGCTATCTCTTCCCGGTGGGCAGTCCAGTCACGAATGTAGTCTTCCTGCTCCTTTATCCTGTGCTTGAAGGTGTTGCTGCTTTGAGCTGCTGTCCCAGCGCTCTGCAGTCGCGCGGTTTTCAGGGCTGGAGAGGTACGCAGACGGGCATGTTTAGGGGAATTACGGTTTGATCCGAATTCATCTTCTGAGGTGGAAGCATAATCTGTAGGAAAGCGCCTCCATCTTGCACTTACTAAATTAGTTTAATTATTAAAAAAGAATTATTATGGCATCTTTAATAAGAAAAAACAGCATTATTTCAGTAACATCACAAAAATACATGGCTATTTATTATCCATCCCCAGGTACCTCAAAAAAGGTTTATTTACTACGTCTTTAAAAGAAAGCTACAGAATTTGTGTTAAATAAAAAATATTGATTAATAAAAACATAAAACTAATGCTCTTTGTAGAGTGATGAGTAAAGTAAGATATAAAAGCCAGTATATGAGCTCAGACAAACTGCATTATAAAACAAGGGCCCAATTCATTAACATTTAAGTATATAGTCAGATTGCACTTTTTCTGCAGATTTTTTTCCCAAATTCCATTCAAGGTTTATGTGATACACAAAAAAGAAAATGAAGAGATATGAAGGAGGGATGGAGCTGGCACCAAGCCTGGAATGTACACTTACATAAGGAAAGCATAAAATTCCTAGATGATGTGTAGGTCTTTTCCAACCTTAATGATTCTATTCTTATGAGTTTAGTACAGAAAAAGAATATGTAAAATTAATATTCAGTTATGCAAATCTGCAGCACATCCATAAGAAAAGCAGCCTCAGAGAAAGAAGCATATATATTCTGACATGCAGCACATAAAGCATTTTACAGCCATGTTGCTGAGGACAGCCTGGAGTACAGGAGAACTGGAACTAAGTAGGAGGCTCTTGTCCCCTTATAAATTACTGAAGTCTAGAAAAGGGATTTCAGATGTGCTGTCCTCAGGCATTTCCAGCAGGAAGAGATACCACCTTTAAAGAAATTCCCATCACCACAACCTGCTAAATTGTTGCAGGGGATTTAAAACCTCAAATTCACTGACATTCATGAGGCTCTGTAAGTACTGCAGAAAATGAAATAAGCATGTGACCACCTATCGGTCATTGAAAAACAACAGAACCAAATGATGTAAATTGTTTTTTAGTATTAAAAAATGCAAGAATTAATAATAGTTTCTCCTGATACATTAAAAAACAAACATTACAAATGAAGTATACACCAATATGAATTTAAGTAAAAAATAATGGAAGAAATTTTTGTGTTATGCAAAGATTATGGTATGTAGACTTGGTGTATAAACTTACATCCCTTCCCTCACACCAATAATGAATTTTCAATTGCTGAAAACAATTGTATGCTTGTGCAGTTTTTTTCAGGTTTAAATGCGGGTTTCAAATTGTGTCCAGTTCTACCATTTTAAAAAATTTTCTAACTTTATTGTAGAAAGTAACAATGTCTCCGCAATCACTTTCTGATCTCTTTTTGGAGGTTTCAAAGTTGTTTGATCTTAGGGAAGTAAAACATGAGCAGAAAAAGTACATTTGTCAACCAACAGCATGCAAGCAATGTGTGACCAAAGTCCAAAGAGATTTATGAGTTGGGCCCACATTTTTTCATCCATTTTTGTTTAAATTATTAGTCCCAGTTCAAATTATAGTCTTCAAAATAATTATAAAATTAATCTTAAAATCTCTCAAGTGAGATAGTTCAGCAACTCAGCACTGTACAATGAGCATATGCAATAATATATTTAAAAACTAAAAACTGAATGAGAAGTGAAATATCAGAAACAGATTTGATTTCTAGTACTCTACCACTGTAAGTTTCAACATCAGGGTCTGGGTCTGGGAGAAGCTTGGATTTCTCTGTGTACAAAATAGTGTTTTATCATGTTAATTCGATTTAAAACATTCAGATTATAAGCATTTGCTTAAATAAAATATGAGATTAGTCTTAGGTCCTCTTTTCCACCCACACGTTTTTAGGAAAATATTATATTTCAATCAAAAATACTGAATTTTGTAAAGGCTTAAACATTTCAGAGATACTAACTGAAATGACATCAATAACAAACATATGCAACATTACATAGTATCATAAAACCCCTGTTTTTAAGATCATTAAATTTTAAGGCCTCGAAATGTTGGGGTGTTACATATTATCAATGTGTTTCTCTTTAATATGAGGACAAAATTACTGTAGGCCTAGTGGTAAAAACCTCAAAGTTATGAAATTCATTACAAGCATATCCAAGCATGTTTCCCAGTGAGGTAGCTATACATTGCATATATATGGTTTTAATACTATCTGTATATTATGCAGGCCCAAATGTCATTGGAGTTTATGTACATTTCTGAAAGTTGTTGTACAGTTGCTTATCTCAGACACCAAAGACTGTGAATATCAGTACCACTAACCTGAAAATCCTAAAAAACCCTGGCTAAAATAACCAGCATTCAAACCTAATTTAGTAACTACTCTGTGAGAAGTACAATTTCCTGACACCAGCAAGTTTGGTGATTTGGACAACATACTCTCACTTCAAAGATCTGAGAATAAATTTTATTGAATATATTCCTTATGCTAATTAGAATATATTCTACTCTTCTTGAGGCATTGACTTCTCAAGGTGCATCTATTTCCAAGCTCCTACTACTAAAATTAACTTAGTAAGGGCTGTTTTGTCTCCATTATCAATTTCTTTTCCCCCACAGTTACCTCAGCAGCTTTGATCAACCTCTCTGCCAGCTATTTGCAATGACAGCTAGGTCAGCCAGGCAGCAGAGCTGCCAAACACAGCTTGCTGCTCAGGGTCTCTCTGCTCTGACTCAATGCCTAAAGTTACAGTTGCAGCTTTGCACGAGGTCTGATCCTGCCGTTTGTTTTCCTGATATGTAGCTCCTTCTGTAACATCATCTTCAATTTCCCTCTCTTGCTGTGAAAATAGGTCTTTGGTCTCCTCTGTTTGTATTCACCACACTCTGCTGTTTGATGATGCAGTGCCTTCATCAGACCTTTCACTGCTTGTCCTATAAAGTGACTAATTTTGCTTCATGTGTCTTCACAATGTTCTCAGTTATCAAGCCTCCTACCACAGAAAAACTCTGGTAATGACTTCAATGCTAACAGTTCTCACCCTAATGTTCCATTTATCTGCTTGCCCTTTCATATAAAAGTAAGCAATACTTCACTGCATCAAGGATTAGAAATGATTCTTGAAATTACAGACTTGCTGCTAGCTCTGACAATTTTAACCCAATCATGTTCCAATTCATCCACATTAAGTACAAGACAATAAAAAATATCAAGAAACTACATCTTATTCTTACTCTCTTTTTACAGGTATATTTGTCTGAACATTGATTTGGAAAGTGCGGAAATAACTTTCTCTTTGTGAGCTGGACTTAAGAGGCTGCCAATGTTTACTGATGTTCAGTGTGGTAGTATTAACTGACCTCTGATGAGACAACCCATGGAACACATTTAACATTTTGAGAGCAGCTAGACCTCTGGTAAAGGAAACAAAACCCCAAACCCAATACTGGTAAAAATCATTCATTTTCCAGTCTTTCTATATCCAGGGAGAGAAGAAAAAACATTCCTGTTACCCCCTGATTAAATAGATGTGCCTGAAGTAAAACTTATTCAAACAGTTGAGGTGCTTTAGTCAAGCACTTCATTAGTATTTTCCAAAAGTGCTAAAATTAATTGTTGACTTTTCTAGAAACAAAATTAAACTGAGGAATTAAAAGTGGTCTATAAATAGCTGGAGATGCATTAAGACATATACTCCTATACCCACTAGAAAATTACACCACTTTCAAAACAATTCAGATTTTCCTAAAGTATAATCTAAATAAATCAGTAAAAAAATTATACAATAATGTTACTGATACAGACAAAATTCAGAACTCTACATCCTAAACAGCAGTAATAATATATTTTACTTATATAGTAACAAAAACTTAATTAGTTTATTTAGCGATGATTTTGTTTGAAAGTATCTGACTGCTTCATTAATTTCTTTCAGATTCTGGCCTTTACATTGATAGGCTTCTCCACTGACATATATTAACTGATACAGTTTTATAAGAAAGAAGCTATTACTACTGTATATTTTTCTAAGAACGGTCTTTTAAAATAACCTAGATAACTATGTTGCTGTATACATGCAAGATGGCATTTTTCTCTCTTGAAAACAGTGTTTTATACAAGCTACAGTAAACTTTGACTGTGGGACACGGGGAAATGAACATTTATCAAAGACAACAACGTGATAGACTAACAGAGTGAGAAGAGAAAGATACACTCGCTTCCCTTAACAACAGAAGCAAACCACTTCAATGCAGCAACCTGGGAAAAGTTTAGGAAGCCTGCAATACTTCACATGGACACAAAACCCAAAATTCATCCAGAGTTTTGTAAAAAACAAAAGCAGTGAAGTGACAAAAATATCTGGCCTTTACTTTTTAAAAAATCAGCATTATCATAATGTGAACTAGTATTCACTGTATGTTCATAAACATGAAGGGGGTCTTAACTGACACTTCCCTACCCTAGAGTTGCCATCTTTCAGGCTGCATCAGCAGTTCAAAATTTTGATTAAAATTGAAAACATACTGCTTTCCCAATTATATCTTACAAGGAAAGACTGAATTTTTATTTGAAGTGTCACCTCTTTTGGGTACCTTTGTAGACACCTGTCATAGAATCACACAGAGTCAACTCTACAGTTCAGCAATGTATCTCAGCAGAAATTTCTATTAAGCCAATAAATGACACAGGAAAACTAACTACCTGGGGAATATACAATGCTATGAATCCTGACATGGTCCACTTATGATACACAAGCAACAGAAGGACAGCAGGAGTGTGGGAAATTAATTGTCACAGTGGCTTGTATCAAGACTGAATGGGATGTAGCAAAATTTCAGTGCACTACAACGCTGGAAGCTACTCTATTAATTTTATTCTGAGACTGTGGATTGACTGCAAATATGGTAAAGCTGGTAGCATGACAATTCTGAAAGGAAGCTGACATTTAATTTAAATACTCATTTCACAAGAAAGTTCACTTTTTAAAAATTAACACATTTTATTTTTATATATTTAATATTGCTGTTGAGAAAACCTACCAGCTTTCACACTGCTTGCACTAAGAATGCTATGTTAACTTCTAACAGAATAGTAGATTAAAATTTGTAGACTGTGCAGATTTTTCCTTCCAAATGTAAGACAAGGTAGAGTAACCACCACACCAAAAACACATCAACATGATCTGGAAATCATGATGAAATCATAAATCACCATGATTTGGAATACAACGAAATAATCCAAGATAAGGCAAACCCTTCAAAAGAAATTTCTTTATGATATTTAGTTAGGTAGTACATAGTTTTTCAATTCATTACTTCAAGGTTATTATTCTTATTAAAAAAATCTCTGATTGCCTATTTACAAGCGTACCTTATAAATAAATATTATGTCTTCTATTACTAAATAGCATTGCTGACCTTCTGAACTACCATGATTTGACCCAAGAGATCTTGGGTCTGTTTTTGCACTGAAATAAATGATTGTTGATGCATTTGACTATCCTAATTCAGTTCTGTCTTACTGGTTTCAAGATGAAAAGATATCCAAAGAATTAAAGGATTACAATTTCTTGGCTTTATGATTTTAAATGAGAAACTTCCACAAGACCTGTCATGGAAGCCTATACTTCAAAGAAAAAGACTGCATCAACTAAAACTAAACAGTTTCATAAGAGCTCTTTCTTAAACAATTTCTTTAAAAAATCCATACGTTAAAAACATCTAGTATTGTACAAAATTATTTCAAATAATCTCACATACCTGAGGGAGAATTATGAGCCGAAGCCAAGGATTTGGATTTTGAATCCGAAAGTCGAGAAATGCTATTGGCTCGAGTTCTAGCAGAAACTTTAGCGCTATCTCCTCCTGAGAGCAGCCTTGAACCACTTCTGATGATTGCTTCTGGAGTACGTGACGAGGCAGTGCTCCTGGTTATTGTTGCTTCAGAATCGCTACGTGCCGATAGAGAGCCAAGCCGATTCCTGCGAGGTTGAGCGAGTAAGTCTATTCTGGAAATGTTTCTCCTCCCTGATGGAGGTTTTGATGTAGAGCTTGTAGTGGACACTTCGGAAGCGACTGAAGCCTTATCAGCATCAGCAAGCTCACTGTCTGAGACTTCACCAAGGCGCGCTCTGCGCAAGAGAGAAGTCCTTGTGGGACGAGGTCTTGGAAGAGTGGTAGATTTACTGGACTGCCCAAGTCCAACAGGAGAGGTTTTTGATTTAGCTGACTTTCCTTCCATCTTGGAATGTACAAGTTCATCTGCTGAGGCAAAAGGAACTCTTCCATGTGATTTGCCAGAGTAGGTTTCCTGGTCAGATGATAGGATATCGGAAATGGCAGAATGAGGTACACTGGATGTTTGGTCATCATCTGTTAAATCTACTGACGGTTGCCTCATTCTTCCACTGGATTGCACAGTTTTGCGAGCCTCAGCTCTAGACCCACCATCTGAAGATCGACTCTTAGTTTTCTTCTCAATCTTTTCTCTAGCACTTGTAGAAGATTTTAAAACATCCTTTGAAGGGGAACCAGTGGAACATCTATCTTTATATAGGTTTGTAAAGCTCTTCCGCTTCTGTGTGGATTTTCTTTCAGTGTCACCAGTAACTAGACTGATAGTGCTGGCTGTATCAACATCTGATTCTGGTGATATGGAATTATCTCTGTTATAACTAGGCGTGTCAGGACCTTCATCAGTTTTATTTTCTTCACGCAATTTAGCTTCAAGGAAAGCCATTACAGCTTCTGTGTCTTTTAAAATGAGTGTTGTATCTATACTGGAATCAGTGTCCATTGAATCACTTCTGTCACGTAACCTGCTTGCAGATACTAAAGGGGCAGCAGAACCACTCTGCTTATTAATGTGAGGAATAAGTTCTATAGGTATATTTGTGCTAGGCTTATCTATAGTAAAGCTACCTTGCCTCACTAAGGGTTTTGAAGATTCCTTTTTGTCTCCTCCAAGTACTTTAGGACTTTGTCCTCTAATCACTTCATCATTTTTTCTTCTTTTTCCCTCAATCTGTGCCAATTTAATTTCTGATTTATCTGTAACATGTCCAGGAGCATTTTCTTGATTATCCAAAGTTTTGGGTGACATAACAATCTCCTCCCGACCTTTCTCAACCTGGTTTGCAGCACATTTTGTAGAGGATAATTTCGAGGGTGTCCAGTGTCCTTGCTCCTTTCTTTCTTGTTGCTGAATTTTTGCTAAAGCTTGTTTCACCACAGAAATTTCTCTGCCAGTTTCAACCCTCTCTTTACTAGAAGAGCTGGGAAAAGAAAACACTTTTTCTCCAGTAGCTTTGGGTGAAAGACCATTCATTGTTCTGCTTGACTTAGCATCTGAAGCACGAGCTGGAGTTTCTTTCTCCTGAAGTTCAGTGTCTTGCTTTTCACCTATTTCTGACCTCTGATGAGATACAGTTTTTGGTTTTAAACTTTCATTTACTTTCTCTTCTATGGGAAGCTGTGGAAGTGTCCTCCTCTTTCGCTCACCTTGGCTGGTCATAGAAGTAGCTGAACCAGCACTTCTAACAGAAATACCAGACTCACTGATGTCTGTATCTAAAAATGAAAAAGAAAAAAATATTTGAGAAGACATTCAACAGCAAGGCAAATAGAAAGATTAAATGTTTAAGACTGCATAAGGCTAATACAACATAAAACAAAAGTGAAAAACTCATCAGTCCATCCTCCTCTTCTATGACGACAAGATCAGTTATATTTAGACACATAGAAAAAACATTTAATGAACTCTTTTAGCCAGCTAAATCATACAAAGTTTTTATGATCTTACAGTAGGTCAAAATAGGTATGAAATCACTGTTATATCAATTAGCACACCATTGCAACACGAAGTGGAAAGGAAATCTTGCATTCCTAAACACCTTTAGGACCAGATTTCAAAACTACCAAAAAGAGTAAGATCCTCCTCCCTACCTGCCTGTTCCTGAGGTCTGTCTCATGGACAGACTACTGCCTCTCACTGCAAGGCCTTGCCTCACTCAGGCAAGAATCTGCAGTGCTGGGAGACACTTCTCAGCAATACTGAAAAGCCCCACACATGAACAAAGAAATTACTATCGCTGAGAAAGCAAAAGTAATGTTTTTATCCCAAACAAGACACTGTAGTATAAAAACATATGGAAAATCAACAACACTTTGTATACAAAGCATCAAAAGAATGCAGCATTAGTGCTAAAGCACTTTCACTGAATTCTCAGTGCACACAGAATGAATGCTCCTTTGACAGAAAAGCGTGGTCATCCCATGGACTGTTGCAAGGAATAACTGTTTTAGAAACCAACATTTATTTTTCCACAGTGATGATGACTGTGCCCTCCTCGCCCATTCAACAAACACAACATTTGTGTTGTCAGAAAAAAGTCTTTATTACTCAAAGGTGATATAAATTGCTCTATGAATTCCTCTGACTTTGAATATTCAGATAGAAAAAATTATTTTTCCAGTTCATTTGTCTGCTGTTGCAATATAATGTGACACATTTAGTAACACACATCTGTCAATTCCCTTTCTTGCCAGGAGAGATATATAAGCAACTGCTCTGAAAGTCCCATACCCTGTTGGGACTTTCCTGACACATCTGTCAATTCCCTTTCTTGCCAGGAGAGATATATAAGCAACTGCTCTGCATACCCTGTTGGGACTTTCCTATCATGGTTTGCCACCAACATTGGTTGCTCCAGGAGTAAGAACTGGAATATAGGGTTTCTCTCTCTGAAAGAATCCTCTAAGCAATTAATTGAAGACCAACAATCATTCTGTATGTATACCTGCTACTTCCTACCCATGCTCTTCAATCTATCTTTTCTCTTTGCAGTGTCAAACCTTTGATGAAGAATGCAAAAGGACTCACAGGTTTTTTTTTCCTATAATCTATGTTAAGACACAGATTTGGGAAACAGTAAGTACCTCTGTAATCTAAGCAAGGTTTTCTAATTCCAGGACTGTTTTTTTTCTTGAAAATTATGAAACAAATTGAAGGTTTAATAAAAATCAATAAGATTGCCATCTGTGAAAATTGACCTTTCTCAGACATGCCTACTAGATCAAATATTTTATACATATATAAGCATGTAACTAGCTTCTTGGTGAATTTCAATCAGCCTTTAGTAAAAAAAAAGGCATGGAATTGTTTAGCATCATAGTTGGCTAAATATGTGTTATGTGAAGTTTAAATACTAAGATTTCTGAAGAAGATATAGTCAAGAAGACATGTTTTCTGAATTGGTTTTTAGATGCACCTACTTAATTTTATTTTTATTACACCTTTGTTATTTTGGTATTTTGGTGCTATGAATGCTCTATTTCCCCTTTTAGTATTTTAGAATTCTTGCAGTACGGGTATGTACTACACAGTAGTTACTTCACTTTATCTCTTATCTTAGTTCTCACAGTGGTAAAAAAAGCCTTTACCTCTCCAAAGAAGATCATAAAAGTGACCATTTAAAACACTACAGAAAACAAAAGACCACCAAAGCTCCTGATTAAGCACCCAAAGGATCAGCCTCAATAGCAGTGATTTTAAGTGTCCGGTATGTACGCACCCAATCCTTTCAAATAGTGCAAAATTTGCTCTTGATTTCCAATATTCTGTGTGTGTATCAGATTATTTAATTTTTCCCCTTTCCATCTCCTTTGATTTTTAGTATCCTAGGCAAAGTTCAATGCTTATGAGGGAAGAAAAAGCTACAACAGAAGCAGCAGCCACTGATAAGAATTTTTTCCTGCATTGGTACAGATATATGCATTATGCAACATCAAAAGCAAAACTTCTTTGTACAACTTCTCCCAAAGATGATCACAACCTCTAAAGTGAGATTTACAGGAAGAAAAAAGCAGAAGAGAAGTCTATAGTCAAGACAGTGGATATTAAAGACTAAACCACTTCAAAATCACAAATGTGAAAAACTGAACTATGGAGAGACATGTCCTGAACATCTGGCACTCACAAGGAAGGGAGATAAGGTTGTTCATTGCTGAACAGAAAGTTTCTGGGTTTTTCAAGAAATATCAAAGGTCTTCTGCATTTCCAAGATAAAGAAGGATGCTATGCTTCAGCTGAAGTCTCTCAGGTTGGACTGCTTAATAATCATTACACTGAAGTCCAATTTAGACTAAGAAAAATGTAAGGAAATATACTATGCATACTATACTATTACTATGCTACCCAAACTGTATTTAAGTGAAAGTTTCTCTGATATTAAACAGTTTATAAACACTCCTGCTTTAGTAACATTCAGTGTAATTCTGGCACTCAACCGCCAGGCAGACACCACTACTGCTGAGCTTGTTTTTACACTGTTTCTGCTCAATGAAACAGAAGAATTTCATGTGAAATTGAGGCATTAGAAGTAAAAAAGCTGACTAAGTACAGTACATAATCATTATTTTCTCCCTTTCACAGGTTTTTCAACACAAATTACGACAATAGGAACAGTTTTTAATACCATTTTCCAAAGGAGCAGGCACAGAGGACTCCAATCTCAGGTCATCTTGGTCATGACGTGTGTGATTAGCAGCCAAACTGGCCCACTGCGATATCCAACGTTTACTTCCAGGGTTAGCAGAACCTTCCTAAGAAAGAAAAAAACAGCAGAAGAAAAATTATAACTCTTTGATGAAAAGCATGCCATCTTTCCAGGCTTTTCCTGAATAGATAGGTCAGACACTATTTTCCTGGAGGAAGTTGAAAAAAATAGTTTACCTCAATAAATTTTAGAGTCCCCACCTCTAGAATGGCAAACAAACAAAATCAATATAGCTGCTGAATCAGTACCAAATAAACTACAATTCCTAGTGCAGTGAACTTTTAAACACCAGAACCTATATAAAATGTATCAGAACATGTGCTAGTTCTAAGATCAGGTTATTTCAGTCCTCAGCTCAGAAGTGCAGAAAAAGTACACGGGGTGTGGGGGTGTGTTAAAAAAATTTAAAATGTGCTTCAGGAAGACAAGAAAGTGACATTTTACCGGTTTAGAAGACCCTCTGGTCCAGGTGAAATATTGTAATTACTTCATTACAGAAAGACTACCTAAAGGACTGAAAGAGTAATAACTTATGATGAAAAGGAAAGGAAGCTCAGATTATTTGTTTGGCCTAAACAAAAAAAGAAGCAAAGATTAGTTTTAGACCATCCTACTGCGTAACAGTGAAGTCAATGTCATCAGTATTTTACATTTATTTTGCACCTAAACCAGAAAGGAAATTAATTTGGTTTCACTTGATTTCTAATGATAGTACAATGTTACTGTCTTACCAAATATCTTACAGTCTCTCTTCCTTACATCTCCAATAAACATCACCAGCCCTTCAAATCTTCACACTTCTATTCAAAATGCTATTTTTTGCCTAATGCCTTGACTACTTTTGGATTCTAGTCTTTTATCAAGAAACAACACTATATGTACTATAAAATTTATTTAGCAGAACTAGAATGGTGAACAATGTCACCTATTATATGACAAAGACTTTGAAGTTAAAAGTTACTCAGACATGCGAAAAGCTTGAATTTACGATCTTGAATTTCTCCTGATTAATGCAAGTGAGTGCAACATCATGAATCTGTTCCAAAATATCATGAATCAGAGATGCAGCAGGTAATTTTTTTAACTATTACACAAATTACCATATTTTGGATTAATTTTTCAAAATCAAAATGTTATTAAAGTCCAACAACAGCAAAGGAAGGCAATTCAATGTTTTTGCTATTTATGGGCATTTCTGCAGACAGTGTGAGATGCTAGTAAGAACATTACCAAAAAATCACAGCATTTATGCACTGACAACTACTGAAACCTCATTTTTCTTTCCTATCACTCATCTTTCTTCTCCTGTCTGTACCAGTGAACTTCTACCTAATGAAACAACTAATTATAGCCAAATCCAAACATGATAGATGTCCCAATGATCTTTGCAACCGAAAATTTCAACTAGTTCCTTCTGTACCACCTAACCAATTTTCAAGATACAGATACGTGTCAGAAATCTGAATTCTATTTCACAATGGAGAAACACACTAGGATTTTGCAGATTAACTGCAGCAAAACAACATGATAAATTATTTTCTCTTAAAATTCCACTGCCAAAAAATGGTTTCTACATAGCAGTGAATATAAAGGTGTGCTTTGCCAGTTCTAGTGTATACAAACAGAAATGACAACAACAAAAATATGCCATTTCTTTTCATAGTAGTTTAAGCACATTCAGAAGGTGAAAGGTTTATAAAACACATATCTAAAAAGCCACATTCAGATATCCTAATGTTCTTCCTATAATCCATATCAATTGGCATCTTACAGGCTCTCAAGTATGCAATCCTCTAAATCTTCTCTTGAACACCAAAAGCAATTTCCTAGTATTTCAGAAAAGCTGGGTTTATCTATGAGATAGCAGCCTTTTACTTTCATGTTAAATCTGCTTTCTTTTACGCTTATCTCACATATAAAGTTAACAGGAGCAAGAAATCTTTCAAATATGTAACAATGGATTTCTGTGGACTTATTACTCAGCCTAAAGATTTAGGGCTTCAGCCTCCACATCTGAAAAAAACCCACAGTGCACACATTATACCTGAAAGCATGTCCAGCTCTTGGCATTTCAGAGCAGACTAACTTTTTTTAAAAATAAATTTCAACAAGGTGAATAAAATTAATTTAAAAATTAAATGTCTTTTCACTTTTTAACTCTAGACAGTTCAAGTTGTAAGCATCATATTATTTCATATTTTCATAAATTGCTGGCTTGAAAGCAGTTCTTCCCTCTTCACTGCAGCTGCTTCAGAACCATATGCTTCTGGGGTGATGATCTTTTTACAGATTTCCATACATGATTTATTTACAGCCAATGTCTTCAAGTTATTTCTGGAACAACCCTGACACCTATCTTTAACAGTTATTTTTCTCTTCTATTACAGTTACTCCATTTACCATGAAAACCCAGCAATTGCATCCATCTCAGCTGTTACTTTGCCAGACTAATTGAACAGCACTGATCTGTTTTTGCAAGGTAAATCTCCATTCCTGTAACAATTTGAGTAGACTTTGTACCTTCTTTAGACTTGTATTCACCCTTCTTGACCAATGTTAACAACTGTAGTGCTATTATTACAGGGGAAGCTTCACCGTGGAGATAACACTGCCCTTTTCTGCTGGTAATGCATTTCCTGGCTGTCCAAGGGTCCTCTGCCTTTTCACAGCCCTGTGATACTGGTGATACATCAGCCTACATTTCAGTATAGCATCTAAGCTCAAACAAAAAGTAAGTATCAAACCCCAAACTAAATGGATTGTTCTACAGGACAGAAAATTGGAGTAATTTGGAAATACAGCTTCTAAATACTCCACTTTTAAGAAGCAATATAGCAAGTATTTACATGGATAAGATCCAATATTCAGAATGTCAATAGATTTATCTGATCTTCAGTGGGAAAGACAAAGTAGACGTTCAAAACAGCAAAAGGAATATTATAGTCAATGGCATTGATGACCCCACAGATGAAGAACCAGGTTTCTAACTGAGCTTTAATCTTACTTAAAAAAACCCAACCAACCAAACAAAACCCCAAACTAACAAAAAACTGAAGCATATCAAACACAATGTAGATACACCCTTACTTAAGGACCGTGTTCAGCACAGACAGCTGACCACTGAAAATTAAATCGAAGTTGGAGGGATAGATTATAGCCCAGATGCTTGCAGTATTTTTATTAAACAAACTCATAGGGTAAGAACAAATAATAACGACAACAACAACAATAATATTCTCTTTGTTCTCTATTTACTTAATTTTTCTCTTTTAATCACACTTACCTTGGTTGGCAAGTGGCAGCTTATAATACAGAAAATAAAAACATTTAAATATTTTAAATAGATGGATTTAGGATTTTCATTGCCTATATGTAATCACTGAAAAGGCAAGAACCACTTTATTCACGCTCAGTCCAACTGTGTCAAGACACTCACTCTGCATTTTATTTTATTTATGACACACGCTCCTCCAAAGTATTTAAAGACTGTTGTATCAAAGAAAAAGCTGAAAACTTCTTTAACAAGAAAAGCATTTCCAAGCATTTTATTAATGACACTTCAAAAGCCCTGTAAAGCTAAGATATTTAAGTTCAGAATAAGCTTTCAACCCCTGAAGTGACTCCAGACGACCCTGTCCTGCCTTGGCAGCAGGGTTGGACTGCATGGTCTCCAGAAGTGTCTACCAACCCTAACTATTCTGTGATTCTGTAAACTATTTCTACAAAATCTTTATAATTTCCCAGGCCATCTTTTCCATTTTTGGGAATAGAAATATCTTAGATTTTTATTCTTTGCTTTTTCTATGCCAATCATGTTTTGAATTCACCTCATTCTACTAATCATGTGCAGGATAACTGTGATGGACAGCTGGAGTAAGCTCCACCTGCAATCTGAGTGGATGCAAAACTGGAACACTGAGCTACCCTGATGTTACCTGACTATTTAGCCAAGATCTTCAATAAGGTTTATAAACTTATGATCTGCAGCTCAGTAATGCAGTAAGTCATCCAAAACCTACAAGCAGAAAAGTTTGTATATGAGAACATAACCCACATAACTTTACAAATCAAACACATTTGCCTCTTTCTTTCCTACTGACTAAACTGAGTGCAAGTTTTGGTAATGAGACTCTAAATGTAACAATCCTCTCTCAGTAGTTATCCTCATTGCTGTTTTCCCATTATTTCCCTATAAAAGACACCAGTAATTTCCTAATTAGCTTCTTTTTTACTTCTACATATCTATCAACCAACTTCTACTTTTAATTTCCTCTAGTAAGCTTTCGTCCACTTTCATCTGTCCTCAACTCTTCTTACACTTGCCTATCCTTGCCCTATCCACATTGCTTATGTCAGTTTTGCTCCTTGACTTACTGAATAATTTTCATTTTTTCACCTATCATGCCTTGTAATATTTTAAATTATGCTAATAACCTATTCTCTCCCACTATATAAAGACCTTTTAATGCAGCAAAGCAGTCACAGTGATAAAACAGCACAATTCTTGTAATTTCCACCTAAATCAAAGTGTTTTATTATATCACTGCCAGAAGGTTTCTTAAATCTGCTGTATGATTGCAGAAGTAGTCTCAGTCTTCTAAAAACAATACCTTTTATTTGCGAAGTTGACACCTGAAAAGACCAATTATGTTAATAAAATAAATCATACATTCTTCTTCTGCTTATGGAATTATAGAAGTGAAAAAATATCAATACTCTTTAAAACTGACAAGACACAAAAGATCAGAGTGCTGCAAAAGGCATAAAAAAAAGAGAGAAAGAATATGGTTATAGATTTGTGCAAAGAAGCAAGGTGAAGAACCTTCCATGGGATATGCCTGTGCTGTGTGGCAATACTTCACTTGGAGTGCCTTAGAGAAACTAGGCAAAGGTACTAATCTAGACACAGTGACATATTTAGTGTCTCAAGGCTTCACAGTAGCTAAAATACAACCATGAGAAAACATACCTCTATGAGAAACAGATACTAAAATCAATGCATTTGCATGGCAGGCACACTAAGTAATACTTTAAGCTCCTTATATCTTCCAAAAAAATTGCTTATCTATAAAGTTTGTTAAATTACAGGACTTCAGAAACAGCTTGCCACAGACCTAAGTGTTATGTGCTTCATTACTGTTGCCAGTTGACTCTGCTCTGTGTTCTGTTCCAGACACATTTCAAGCTACTTTCTCCTTAACAATGACATCAGAATGCCTCCCAAGATTTCAATATGAAATATGATCAATATCTAGTTTGTGTGCATATTCTAAGTCATATATAAAGATAGACATTTTCCTCTGTTTCATCTTTCACCAGCTGATTAAGTTATACCGTGTTCTGCATCAACTACTGTGGTGACTTGTCATGAGTGGCACCTTGCTGGACAACTTAAACCACGAATGTAAAAACCTGAGTCCTCTGGCTTCTGAGAAAAAATCTGAGAAGTATTATCCACCATTTTTTTCTAGATGACTTTGCATCATTTATTAAGTGCACACATTTTATTTCTGAATTTTAATATCCTTACTTGCTTTGGGCTATAAAACATAACCAGTTTTTCCTCAGTTCTGCTGAAGAACTTACAAGATGTATACATTGTGCAAAGCCATGTTGTGGCAAGGAAACTTCTGCTACATTTCCAATACACTGGTGTCAGTGCACACAGAAAGGTAGCCAAGTTTTAAAACACCTCTGCAATGAATTATGTCTGTCTCAGACAGAGAAGCTTTGATAATGCAATATGGCCTAGGAGAAATGAAATACTTATAGATCCGAGTTAATCTTTTCCAGGTAAGATTTTGTTTCTTGTTTAACACTTACTGGTCAGTTCTTAGTGCTCTCTTTTAGTGGAAGAAAAAAGAAGACCGTCAAAAATTAAATTCTACCTCTGTGTCAAGAAATCCAGTTGTACTCAGTGGTCTTTTTTCTTCCAGCACTACTGTAGCAGAATTTATAGCCCAATCTTTTACTAAATCTTTCTGGTTCTCGTTGATAACAGGCCTATTATAATCCTGGCTGCCATCCACTCCAAATACCTGAAAATGAAACAAACCATTACATTCATTAACCCAATACCATCCTGATACAATGTTCAATGTTAATGGATGGATGGTGGCATGCTGGATAGTGAGTATAAATAGGTTTTATTGTATTATGCTTATCTGTCACCTTAGTGCAATCTACAGATTAATAGAAAAAAAATCTACAACAATTAAAAAAAAAGTGGAAGTCTATGTCAACATTGTGAAAATTCAAAGAATTGCTAGTGGTAATGGTCAGATATGAAAAAATGACACTTTAATGAAAGGAACAAAAGATAAAAGCAAAATCATTGCAGAATCCATTTTAACAATTAAGGGAAAAACCCAGTAACTAGAATCACCAAATTTTCAGATTTTTACTATTATCTAATGAGAATAAGAAATACAAATTCTTGCATTTGCTATTACTATGCTTATTGAATTATTTCTCTGATACAAACAAAACTTCAGCTGTTAGACTTGGCAGATATTAGAAGTCCACCAGGTCTCATGAATCATGTAGACTCATCTCATCCAAGATGTGACTTGGCATAGTTCTTTTACTACTCTATTTCTTAATGATGCTTATATCAATTTCTTCTACTTAAGCCAGAATTATTTTCCCATGACAATTTAAAAACATTGCACAGAAAAAAATACTAGAAAAACATTACTAAGGCAATTAATAATAAGAACTTTAGCAGGAGAACCACCATAGTGTTTGTAAAATTTCTCATGAGTCACAGAAACCAGGGAATATGAATTGTTTTCAGAATTGATGTATAATCAAAGACATTTTAGAAAATATCTGTATCTTGTAAACATGTAACATAAAATTTGCAAATTTCTGCTTAAGAAATAAATTCACAACTTTAATACTAAAGGCTTAGACATTAAAAAAATACCGAATAAAATTAACCTCTCACATTAAAACTGGTTGCCAAAAATTAACAGTTAACATCAAAAATTGTTTTGTCATCTTCACAGATGTTATTTTGCTGTAACAAACACTACCAGTGCAGAATAGGAAAAGGTGTAGAGAATTTTTTTTTTCTCCAAAAGTGTGCTGTAATTCAGTTTTGCACAGCAAAGTTAGAGGACTGGTTTATTACAATTCTGAACAAGGTTAGTGTCTTCAAAATGGATTCACCACTAGATGGCCACAAAGCATAATGTTGTCAGCTTCTGAGAGGCAGACAAAGGAAAAAAAAACAGTTAAGCACCCTGCTATTTAACTCTTTATGCTAACTGTAAGGGAAGACCTTGCTACAGCATTACTACATTTAAACCTGAGGAAATTTTCTCAGATGCACTGGATTTGGTTTTTTTGCTCTCATGAGAAAAGCCTACTTTCCTGACATCTTAAAATTCAGGCAGCACTCCCCAAATTTTCAATTTACACATAAATAATTGCTATAGTCTCTGGATCAGAAGTTGCTTAACAGTATTTACAAAACATTTGTTTTCTTTTTATAGAAATAGAGTGCTAAAACTTAAATTTTTGCTTTCATGATATACTTTTGATTTGTACAGTTGTAGCAGTTTCTGAAGATAGAAACCAGTTACTGTCCACTGACACCTTTCTTTGACTATATCACTATTCTGCAAAGACTTTTTTCTTTGTGCATCATAGTTTCATTGATTACAGAATTTTATATGTACTCTTAAATGAAAATAAATTCTGGTATTATCACACAAGCACCAGAAGGAAAATATGAATTCCACACTTCCATATCCAATTGGGACTACAGCAGCAAATTGCTGCCTATAAATTGCTTCCTTTTATCTGACAGCACATTCATTTACCATGTCAAATTTCTTCACTTTTATCAGAAGTAACGCTTCTTTCAGTCTTACCTTTTCTAGTACGGAACTCATGTTTAATCAAATTTTGTTATTCTTCTTCTATTACTGAAATTACTGCAAAACCAAATTTGAATATTGCCTAATTTTTTCTGTGAAAGGTAATATGAATATCACTAAGACCCAAGTAGTAGCACTCCTAATGTTCTTTCTCTCTATACAGTGGGGAGAAGCAGAATATTTGGGGATATTCTGGTTATAGAGCAGATAAGCAAAATATTTTGGGACAGCATTATTGGAAAGAAGAGCAAAACATTTTCTTCAATAAAAGTATATTTTTGTACTACAATGTCATTCTATATTTGTTTTGTGCATGCGTCTGCCCTAAGTTCCACTGCTATACAACTGCAAAGCTCCTCTTCTTGGAAGAAAGGAAAGATGCACGTAAGTGTCATGCAGCCCAAAGACTAAATTTCAGATTTGTGCTATATAAAAAAAACCTTTGAAATATTGTTACTAACACATAATTAAGAATTTAAGTACTAAAACTATTCACAAAATAAAACAACTCAAGTATTTGATAAAAATGTAGATCATTACTTACACATCTGTCATACACCTGCAGAAAAGCAATTTCAATATCAGAATTTCAGGATTAATCAATCCACTTACTCAATTTATCAAATAATGAGAATATATCCTCAACAGAAACAGCCATGGAATAACCTGAATGTTTCTGCTGAAAATCATCTCTCTACCATCTAGAAAATGCAATTTGTACTTTCTGGGCTGATAAAATATGGCATGTGTGCAAACAGTGGGCTGTTGTGACTGAAGCCTGAATGGATAGACTTCTATCTTCCTACAAAGACTAGATTACATTTTTCAAGGCTTCCAATTCTTTAGAGGTTTCTGTTCTTTAAATACCTTCATGACTGCAAAGTCATTTAAGGGAGGTCTAGAAGATAACAAAGCCAAGAGAATTCTAAGGAAATGCTGATGACACATATTGCTGCATCTCTCATCTATTTAGACAAAAAGACTGAAGTTTCTTTTCTGTAAAGCCTGTATTTGTCAGAAGCCACTCTGAAATACATTTTGATTAACTGTGTTACAGGGAAGAAAAGGACGAAGCCAGGTTCCTCAATCAATACAGATACTATACAGATTTGGACACATCAGGCTGTTTGAAAAATGAGAAGCAAGCCTTTATTTTTGATAAAGGAGGTAAAATAATCCTATGTATTCTGTGTATGTGACTAACCATCACAAATCATACATATCCACCACACAGCTGTCAATGCAAAAAAGGTTTCCAAATTAATTTACCCTTTTTAAATAGCACTGTAAACAACAGGGACTTTCACAAGACTCTGATTTTGCTTGCTTTTTTTTTTTTTTTGAGAATCTGGGGAATGAGGAGTAATGTAAAAAGAATAAATAAATACAAAGAACAATTCCTAGAAATATTAAAAAACAACGATACTAATGCATTTTTTTAACAGGTGTAATTTAAAACTGAAACTATCAGAGAAAGGTATTTCTAAGATACCTGCTTCCTATAAGCAATCATTCTGGAATGCTAAAAGTTTTTTGCCCTGCTCTGTCCTATTGTTTAGTTCTGAAATTATATTTTTGCAGGAAGATTACATTGTTCCATCCTGGTTGTTTCAAGTTTCATGAAGTTACAGAACAAAAACCAGGATGAAAATTTTCACAGAAACCATGAAAGTTGACTGACGGACAAAAATCTAGACACGCCATCAATCTGCACTATTTCATGTTGTTCTTGCAGGGTCATCACATGGCTGTAATGTAGAACAGACACAAACATTGTGTATAAACTGTGGTGGTGGTGTTTAAAAATAACTACTTTATTGTTATGAAGCATGAAACAATTTCCATTGTGAATCAGGACATTTTAAATGGAATGGGAATGAAGACATGCTGTAGGAAGTCAAGACCCATGTATGAACTGTTCTTGAGGTAATTTTGTCTAACCTGCGTTCCAGCTGGCCCCTTAAGCAAATGGATTAACAGGTGATACAGGATAGACATTGTCTAACTTGGTAGCTCTGCAGGGGCCACCAAGATGGCAAAGACCAGAGCATTTCACCTGTGGGGAGAGTCTGGGGAAGCTGGATTTGATCACTCTGGAGCTGGGAAGGCTTTGGGGTTTTCTAACAGCAGCTCCCCAAGTGCAATGGGGAGCGCACCAAGATGACAGCCAGGCTCTTCACAGTGCTACTACACTGCAGGGGGACAAGGGACAACTCATGTCAGATGAGACAGGGTATGAAGAAAAGTTTTTTCACTCTGAGGACAGTCAAGCAAGCTTGCCTAGTCTCTGCCCAAGTAGGGCATGAAGACCTAAGTGGATGAAGTCCTGGGCAACCTGGCAGACCTCAAAGCATGTTTGAGCAGGGGGTTGGACTAGACATCTCCTTTTCAGGTCCTTTCCAGCTTATGTGAATCTATGCTCCATAATAACAGCAATCTTACATAATAACTACGCATCTCAGGTTTCCTAGTGCAAAGTTTTGAGAAAGCCCCAGGTATCTCGGAGCAGCAGGGAAAAGGTGAGCTCCTAGTACGTACTTTTCCATTTCAAAGCAGTGAAGTAAGTCCTCCAAAGATCCCCTATGATAATCCATTTACATTCTGCAGTAACAAAGGGCCTACGTACTTTTCCATTTCAAAGCAGTGAAGTAAGTCCTCCAAAGATCCCCTGATAATCCATGTACATTCTGCAGTAACAAAGGGCCAAAACAGCAGGCTAAAACTATAGCAACTCTGAAAGCACTATCTTGTTACTTGCTGGAATGCAAACTTGCCCTGAAAAATACAGAAGGAACATCTGGACTAACTAATGGCAAAACAACTGCAGCAGGCTAAAACTATAGCAACTCTGAAAGCACTATCTTGTTACTTGCTGAAATGTAAACTTGCCCTGAAAAAATACAGAAGGAACATCTGGCCTAACTAATGGAAAAACAACTGTAACCTAATGAGGATATTCATAAATTTCATCACTTTACAGCTGCAACAGTTTTTCCAATATTCTCAGAATACAACCTTATCTATATTAACCAGCAATTGTTAAAATTCTTTATCCAACCAAATCCAAGAATTAACAAAATCTATCTAACACAATAAAAGCAAGATGCAAATCTTGCAAAAGGTACTGGCATATTTTCAGAGACAGTGTGAGT